AAGACGATGGCTGTGGTGCCATTGGTTTACTTTCCTTGCAAAGTGTCATGTCATCTAAAACCACCTCCAGGCGGGTTGCAGGAGTGCCAACGCTGATTCAGCTTTAGGTGTGCAGTGTCCTGGCCATGGCGCATCCCTGACCAACCGCAAATGCGGGCCTGGCTGTCTTCCTCAGACTTAAGGGACTGCGGAATACCAGTTAGAAGAATGCCTGTCTACGCCACCATCGTAACCATGCTTAGGCCGCTGAAATAAGCCACCTCCAGGTAGCGGCTAGCGATCAATAAGTATAGACCTCTTCATGTGGTGGTTTGTATGTCTGTTCGCACTGGCTACGGTGTAAGCTTCGCATCATGTGGCAGCTAGGATCTCCTCCTTAGACAGGCATCATAAATTGCTCATTGGACGGTTTCAGTTTGAGGAGAAATCATCGGGGTTTCTTTCATACGCGCATCAGGGCAGCGTAACTCGACCAGTTTCATTGGACTGTCTGTCGCTTGTGCTTGTGGCTTCCAACCGGTGTCCCATTGGCTAACGTCTCATGACCAATGAGAGTGTGAACGACGCCAAAACATTGTTCATGGCCTCACGAAATTGAATGCACAGCAAGCGATTTTGAAAATGTGTCACGCTAAAAGCATGGTACAATAGACATGTCAATAAAGTGGTATAGAGCTGCGCACAGGTTCACCTAGTTACGCGGTTCCCAACCACTGAGAGAAGAGACGAGAGAAGACCATGCGGACCTTTGGGAGCTCTTTTACCGTTGACAGTGGCCGAATCACAGTTGGAACAATACTTTCTTTTGTGATTGAATGTATCACCACGTAGGGCTGGTGTTTTATGAAAGAACCTAGTCCACTTTAGCCCAGTTGTGCCGCGACTTGGAGTGGCAGGCTCCTGCTTAATTATGGAGAAGAATTGAACACTGCGTAGGACAGTCCGCCTACTGGCCTCTTTGTTGCGTATTTTTACTGGGATCTTTGACGTGTCCGCAACTCTGCCTTTGAAGATAATGTGTTCCACTTCTGTCGACAGTTTATCCGGATGGATTTCGGTGACCTCCGTAAACTTCCTGTTCATAGCTAAGGCGGGTTTTCCAGACTTAGCGGCGACTGGGTGGCTTCGAACATGGTCTCCCGTTGTGTAGCCATTCCGAGGGATACGACATGAGGTGCAACGGCAGGTGCGCGGATGGTCATCCATGGCGCGGTTGAAGTTGATTGCGATGTCGGACCCACGTGTTATCACCCACCGAGATATCATGTAGCATATCACCTCAACAGGCCGTCATTGTTGCTTTGATCCAGCATGGATGTCCTGCTCGATAGTTGCGATCGTAGACCGGAGCTCAAACGACGAATTAATTGTTCTTGGTGAAGGTATTAGATGGAATTGGTGGCTTTTCGATCGGGTTACTGATAGATGCAAGTAAACCGAAGCTCCTGAGAGGGAGAACCAGAGAAAGTCAGTGACAATCGCTAGTGGTGAATGTTTAAACCGTTCAGCTGTACATGTGTGATGAAGTTACAAGAAGCATCCTTCATCTTTCCCTTTACAGCGAACTTTACGAAAAGTTATTTAAAAGGGGGTAATTGGATTACAGTATGATACATCCGCTAAAAGTTCTGATGAATCCTCTCCTGGCACAACTCCATGATGTTAGTCACACGAGCGCGTTCCAGCACGTTGTCTGGTAACGTCACTGTAACCGTTTACCTCAATGGTAAAACTGAAGACATGGAAAATATGCTCCGACCAGCCTGCTGGTCCTCTACCCCAAGTGCCTCCTCATTTCCGCTACATTCCGGATGTGCTGAAGCAACAACGAATAAAAGTGCCTCCTTACACTCACATGACTAGAACCACAGTTGTCCTGTGCTCCTTCAGTTCAAAGAAGCTGTGACTGCGACGGAATATTTTAAAGGACTTGACGTATTACAAGAAATACTACCGTCCAAGCACTGCACGTCGTGATAAACCACACGTCCGTGCAAAGGGAAGTCTGGTTGAGCCGAGCCCAGTTGTCCCCTAATGGAATACAAATATCAGCGCATGAATTGGACAAAGGTACGACAGGCCGGTGCTCTACACCAGGCTGGAAGTCACAACTGACTCTCAAAATGCGACCATTTGGATGATTATGAATGAAGACGGGACCTCTCTACTACATCCAGTGACTCGACTGCTAGCCTCAAGGCTTCGGCAATCGCACCACTCGACAACGAAACACAGCATTTTGCAACAAAAACTCCGTATTGCTAAATGCCACATCATCGTCGAAGCCAGCAAAGCAGGGCCAATAAATGGTGGCGGAGCACGAAGTTCACTCGGGTAAATCAGGCAAATACGGAAACCAGCCAAACACTGTTCTCTCATTTACCGACGTCCATGCAGTTTGTTGGGAGGAATTTACAGCGAAATCCGCGCATGCTAACCCTAATGTAGACAACTATCACAGGCAGCCAAGCAAGCAGATATTTTGCACGCAATGGCATACATTGTTGCCGACATGCAAGCTACGCCGATATATTTTGTCATCAGAAAGCAGCGAGATCCTGAAGCATTGTTGGACGACGGCATTAGCTCCAAAACGCATGCTACAATAAATTTACAGTACTTGCAACGGCACAATACGCAAGCAGCACCCAGGGTGAAGTGCAAGTGTCTGGCATGTCCAGAATGGAATTAAACAGGATCTTCTTAACTTGATACCAAACCACATGCTCCGCAGCGTACTATCTATATTGTTGATTGACGAAGGCGATATTGGAATCTCCTGCCAATTTAGTCTTCTTCTTTAGGGCATCGTTAAGAACAGCTTTTGCTTAGGGACGTTGGCTCCCCTTTTCTTCCCGGTTTTCGCGTTCCCCTTTTAAGTGCTTTGCTAGGAACTTCTCCGAACGTCCACTTTTGCGTATTGTAAAGGAGACGCGTTGCAGCTCATATGCAATCGCTTCCTCAGAGCAAAGCTGACGAGCCATCGCAAAGATGGAACGGACCGGAACTCGTTTGTGATTCACAGGACACTAAATGTTAAATTTGGGGTAGTGCACTATTTAGATTTGTATTAAGCAAATATCTAAAATTTGAAGGCGTTGTAAGGTTCGCTCTCAACTGTAAATTCGATTGCGGGGTAACAGTCGCTTAGAGACAACAGTAGTTGTTCTGCTTGCTCGGCAATATGTACAACGACGAAAGCGTCATTCAAGTTGCGGCTATATGAATGCACGCGGTGTATATTACAATCTGAGGATCTCTGTATGCAATCTATCCAATCCGCTAAGTATATGCAAACGGCCGACATAAATACTCGGAATAGCTGAATGCAATTATTACCATTCTGTTGGACATGCAAAAGACGTTCGACCGCGTGACGCACAAGCCAATGCCGTCCGTTCTAGTGTCCTGGGGCTAAACTGCTTCGACTGATATCTAAACGGTCGAACCCAGGTGGTTAAAATCGGTCAGCAATATTCTACACCGCAACACATAACCCGCAGCGTCTTCCAGGGAAGTGTGCTCGGATCACTACTTTCCCTAATCTATGTAAACAACGTATGTGACCCGAGCAAACATGGACACCCATTTCTGTTTGCAGATGACGTCAAACTGTTCTACTCATTTCATTTAGACCAACCATAAATGTGCCTGGTAAACATTTGTGAAGATCTGTCCGCACTAACTATAGCTAGTGAAAGTTTATTAATGAAGTTCTCCGCAATGAAATCCCAAGTATTTGAGTACAGATTTCGCATCCCAGAAAGCCCTATCACACTTGCCCGAAACGTGATCCCAACGTCTTATTCAGTTCGGGATTTAGGAATTAGGTACTATAACTCTTACGATTTCTCCAAATATGTGCTTATCAGGTTGTAAAAGTAAGTTAGCTATGCGGATATATCACCAGAACTTTCTCCGTACCTGAAGCACGACTTGCGTGATTCAAGGCAATAGTACGACGGACTCTAGAATACTGTGCTATCGTTTACACCCAATTGAGAAAGAAAGACAGAGTGGCTCCGAGAAACGTCCAGCGATCATTTACCAAGCTGGTCATGGGGAGTTGCTCCAACCTGAAATATTATGATTGCCGTCAAAAACTCCGACTTGATCTGCTTTGGCTGAGACGCTTAAAGAACAACGTCATTCTCTTCTTCAACATTATAAACCAGCGAATTTACGCAGACAGCACTGCACTTGAACTACGGAAGTCTTCAGTCTACCCCACACTTAATGGCGGTTCCTTGCTACGCGAAAAACTTTCAAGTCATAAAACTCGATCGAATTTCTTCTAAGTGAGATACACCGATCTGTGGAACAAACTACTCGTGCAGATACGCATTAGTACAAGCTGTCACATTTCGAAATTCCCTACAGACGTTCCTCATGACAACAAATGTGTTGAACATCTTTGACTCGCAACAATTTCTAGAAACATTGACAGAAGCTTATGTAAATAACTTATGAGCAGCTAAATGCTTACAAGCAGCTTGCCCACACCATGTCATTGTCCACAAAACCAAATACTGTGCCTGTGCAAGTTATTATCCCCTCCACTTTATTATCTACTACTCAGCCACAGAAACTAGAAGTGGTAATACAAATATCGATGTATTTTGCACCTTAGATGGTCGGGTCTAGGACCCGATGGAAAAGTTACTATCCGAAATTCAATTGATTAAATTTATTTTACTATTAGGAATTTAGGTCACATAAAATATGAAACCTATTTACCGTGTAAATGATCGCTCCCCCTTATGGGGCCGTATACCACTTGTCGGTGAATATACGAATTTATTTCTCTATTTACTTAAACGGACGTAGTGTGGATTTATAATTGCGGGCGAACTAGCAGCTGAGTATACTCAAATGGCAACGACGCATTGGTACGAAGTGACAGCGTACTTCGACAGCTTAAGGCCATGGAACTGTTACATTTGATTCCACTTACAAGCAAACCGCCCCAGCGATATAACTGGTCTTTCAATTCAAAACAGTTGCGTTTTATACAAACTGTATTATATACAATCGGTCGAGGTAGTGTACATATAAGTACTTCGGATGTGCAATCGCATTATGACATGCATGACGACGTGCTTACAAATATCACGAATTCCAGCCAAATCTGTAGGAGGACCAGACCAAGGAAGACACCAACAGGGGATTGTCATTATCACACATAGCTCATTGGACTGTGTGCATACACGCCTGACATGGATTCGATTGTGCTAAACGTTCGGCTGGCATCGATCTGCCTGCCAGTTTGATTTTGCCTGTGTGGCATCGTTGGCTCGATTCGGTGGGAAGTACATTGCGCGGCTTGGATAGTGTCACGTTTCCGTTGCAATGGGCAGAGTGTCGGAAGAATGGATTACTTTTGTGACCGCTGAACTGGACTCGGTGTGCTGCAAACTGCGTCGGATACAAACAAGAGGAATAACCGGTCAAAACTTGTGAATGCACTCGAGGAGAGACTGAACCATCCGTATCGGTCGGCCGCGATATTAGAAACGTAAATGATGATGGTCTGCGTGCTCTGACCGGAGTGAAATATTCGCTGGCTTGTTTGCTCGGTAGCAGGTGTATGGATCGCTTGTAATTGGGATCTTCGCCGGGAGCCACGCCACACGAACTGATGTAGCCGAGAATACGTGTCCCCGGTTCTATCAATGTGCCGAAACGGTTGTATTTGATGCATTGGTTTCGGAGAAGATCGAACGAAACCTGACAAGACTTCCTTTTGCCGTTAGAAGCCGAGGATTTCAACAGACAGGATACGATTTTTGTCCGATTCTCTGAGGCGGAATCGTTTGAGTCTGGAATGGATAACAGCACAATTGGAAAAGCTGAGTTCTGTCTGTCCAGAACTATGAAGCATTTTAAACGTCACAGCGCATGCATTTCTGATAGTCTTCCCAGGGTAGCTAACGATAACAGCTACATACTGTTAATAAAGGGTGAAAAATGTCACAAGTGAACGAATAAAGAAACTTAGGTCGCACCCTTACTCCGAATGTAACCTAGAACTAACAGTCAACTGCTTTTGAACGCAAAGCACGTCTAATCCGTCACATGGATGCGGCTTATGCGCAACAGAGGAGATGGAAATCAGTACAATGCGGCAAAACTTTGATTCACCCGCTGACCTCAATCAAGCGAGCTAAGATGCCTGTTGATTGACGATGCCAGTTGCCTGCATGGTGTCTTGCTTGCGTTGGATATACTTGCTGCGTCGTCAGCACGTGTTCCATATTCAAGGCCTCAGGGTCCTATCCGCTATGACTATGTCAGACATAATGTCAGACATAATGAAAGTTGTGACCGATACGTTGCGTTGCCCTCAGCTGAAGCGAAGGCGGTTTGCTGGCTCCGTCGATAAGAATAATCTTTACGTCACAGAAAGTGCACTGATTTGTAAAAATCCGCTGTCAAGCAGCGACTTTGACATTTAATGATAAATAAAAGAAGCTATTTTTGCATGTACGATGGCCAATAGATCTGTCCAACCAATGATCCTGCTTTGATTTTTGATAAGTCTACGAGGCTACCTATTTTTGAGTGTCTTGTCAATTATCATCTTCAGTTCGTCCGCCAGATAATCGATCAAACATATTACTTCAGTATGACTAAATATGGCCTTCATAAGCGTCTTTTCATAACCCATTGGCACTAAGCTGGTGAAATATAGGTACCGGTCGGATCACGTTGTTTTCCTTTGACGACTCTATGGCTCTGGTTGCTTCCTCACCAGCTGATGAGAAAAACGAAATAAGAAAGCAGCTCCGACACTCAAATTTCTAAGAGGTCCTTAAGTTGATATACGCAGTATTTGTATGTGCTACCACAAAATTAATACACCACTCAGTTTAACGAAATGAGAGATATCATCCATATGTATATCGTGTAGTAAGGCAGTTCAGCTAGTTCCTCGAATATGCCTTGTTCTGCCGTCAGCATAAGAATTCCAGTGGCAGTTTAGTTAACTGCTCATATGCGCCATGTCAATTTCATGACATGACATTTTTCTGAATTGATGATCGACACCGTACACAGAAGCAAAGGAAGGAGGGAAGAGCACTATTGGTACCTCAATGCGTCAGACCGAAGCTCCGCTGCTACACAACCACCAACGTTCGTGTATGGGCTGTATATACTGCGAAGTCGCCTACGCATACGCAAATTCGAACTGGAGACCACAGGGTAACAAGGCAAGCGCATAGTCTTTTCAATCACTGGCCGGATGAATTAAAGCAAAGTGTTATTATGTAGTTTGTGTAGCACATTTATTTTATTGGCAAAGTTACACTTTGGATGTACCATAATCATCATCAACATCATCATCAGCAGCATCATCATCATCAGCCTAATCATCATCATCGTCGTCATCAGCATCATCACCATCATCAGCAGCAGCAGCATCACTGTCATCATCATCAGCAGCAGCAGCATCATCATCACCATCATCATCATCATCCTCATCATCATCCTCATCATCATCATCGTCATCATCACCATCACCATCCTCACCACCACCATCATCATCGTCATCATCATTATCATTATCATTTTCATCATAATCCTCATCCTCGTTATCATCATCATCATGATTCTCATGGTTAGCATGAGTATAGTCATCGTCATCAGCATCCTCATAATAATAACAATACTAATAGTAATAATCCTCGTTATCATCATCATCAGCATCATCATCATCGTCATCATCGTCACCTCTCTTATACTGACTTTTAACCTATCTGCACTTTCTCCTAGCAATCGTTATCCCGAAATGAAATAATAAGGAAGGCAGACGGAACCAATGAATGCAACGTGCTCACCCGTTTTGTTCGATTGCTCTGATAAGGTGGTGTAGCTTATTGCGTCGTGTAACATTTACTGGTCTGTTCTGTTAACTGGATTTTCCAGAGGTTAAACTATCATGAACTACATAAAGACATATGCAAGAAATCTTAGTAGATCGGTACCAAAACTCGAGTGGGATAGACTGCTGACTCCGCGAGCTCTCTTATCTGTGAGAGCAGAATAAATGCGCTGTTAATTGACTTTCAAATCGATATGAGCAAGCGTGATATGAAAGCGAATCCATAAAATTGAGCAAGGTGAAGCTGGGCCAATACAAATATATTTCGTAATATTATAACCATGTCAAATCTTGATCTGGTTCCAAACGGAAATGAAAATCAGCGGTACGTCGGTTCACCGTACCCATGCTTCGCTGATGTTCAAGCACCACTAGTCGAGCGTGGACTAAGGATACTACGAGGGTCTCTCGATCCCCTACGCAGGCTCGAAAACGCGCCCTCGGATCACAAGGCACGCCTATGATTCTTAATACTATGGGCCAACAATGTGTAAACCAGTGTAAAAATATAGTTTCTCCCAAACGGAAAGCTTAGTTTCAACTATTTTAGACAACCAGACTGGTAGTGGATGAAACCAGGGTGGACTCACCTGAACATTGCGTTCCTGTTGTTGTACGACTTGAATTTTCCTCCATCTCTGAGTCTGAAATACACAGAGGAGCATTTGATATTATACACTAAGAGAGTTGAATGTTAGAAGCAGAGTTCCACTACTTGGCCTCTACAATTGATTTAGTGAACAGGTGAATCAATAATGCATCATTATACAACAACATCTGAATACAGCACATAGTTTTGCCGTTTAACTACTCCGATTGTCTCCTCATTTCAGCAGAGTTTTACACTCAAACACAGCAGCGACGGCGCCGGAGCCTAGCCCGTTTGCTCATGCAGTCAGCAACGTGGCAATTCAGACACAATGGTGTGTGTACTGCCATAGGCAAAGGTGATACGGACTAACATAATTGCTGTGGATGTACGGTCAGTCTCTTTTACTAGCAAGTCTGCGGGAATCAGTTAACCTGCTTATGCGTATTCGCTAACACCGAGTATTGGAGCACCGATAGCAAACAAGTTCACTGTCTACAAACTAATCAGTAAACAAACATCCCCCTTACCTCAGTGGTGACTTTTAACAATGAAGAGTTAAGAGATTTTCATGGAATAACAGATTCCATAGACAGATATGTATTTTGGCGTAAGCGTCAGGTCATTCTAGAAGACAAGCGGATTAAACAGCAAGCTAAGTAACGACTCTCATTTAATCTATTTAGCTTAGTGTCAGTCATCAAACGCCAAATCCCAGTTCCCCTCCTGACTGCCTTCATCCATACCTAGACCCTCCAACAAAGGACTACACCGGTGATAAAACAGAATAGCTACAAATGATAGTGTTTGGGGTTTTTTCGTTTCGGACTCTTCCCACTGGATTGTGCTGAATGGTTTCCCTTACACTAAGCCAAGGTCTAGTTTGAATTCGTGTGTAACAAACAAAACACAGCGAGTGTTACAAATCCAGCAAGGAATTTCCAACTACTATGATAAGCGCTGCATTGGTAACTCATTAACCTTAACAGCAAGTAGTATGCTGACTAACTACGATGTTCCGGATTCTAGCTCCCACTGCTAATGTGTCTGTACTTGAGAAACTGACAGCATCACACGTGTTCGGAACGATATCTTCGCAAGTGATTGACTAAGTGACAATGGGCCTCTTGGCTAGTTTTACTAAAGAACGGGATACAAATAAACTTTGATGTTTGGTTAAAAACCACTGATTAATGTCTAAAAGTTTCAAGTTGGGTCAGTTGTTAGGTGTTAGTTGGGCACGAAGGAAAGCCTGAAAAACTTGGGAGGATGTCGGATAGCATATTGAGTAGTAGAGATAGTAGCTGCTGTTGGCCAGGTGTTTCAGTTTCGACTTGCCTGCTAAACCCAACTATTGGAAAAGTTTGTTCACCAAGTCGATGATTTTAATCATCTTCGTTAAACCATCGGCTTCCGTCCACACTAATTCGCCTTCTACTGTTAGAAAAAATTTCAGCAATAAATCGTTGCTTCGCACTTATACTTTGTTGCAAAGCGAGCACCACTAGTCGCGCGCGAGATACGAATACTGCTGGATCGCCCTCACCTACGCAGATTTGATATGAGGGACTTCGGGCTACAAGGCACCCATGAAATTAATCTTTCAGTAACATAATAATCCTACCGGTAGTCTAGTAGGTCTTACAGCGTAGATGACTGAGTGTCCACATGCATCGGTCGTTGATCCACTTCATTCTGAACATGTACTAATGTAGATAGAGTTCAACAAGCCACAAGAGGGAATCAGGAGGAGTATCGAAAAGCTTTTGTGGTCGCAATGGGAGTAAGTTGCACTTGGTAACACAAGTGAACCCATGTGCATCAGCAGACAGCAGAGCTACAGGAATAAATTTTGTTTATGGTTGGACAATGAATGTGTGCGACCAAAGGCAAGCGTGTTCGCAGTCTGCGGTAGCACAGTTGGCATTAGGTCGACCCTGACGGAGAGTAATTCCGTTAAATCCAAGTGCTATTTACACAATCGGCAGACTATTTGCTGTTCTCCGAATAGAGAAAATCGGCACTGTTTCCTTGACGGAGAATTCATACATAGTTTAAGTTTTAGCGCTTTGCCCACTTGGCTAATCTTCGTGCTTCGTGCATTCGTTTGATTTCTTTGTGAACAAATTAAATCTCTAACACAGCTCAATCTGCAGACAACATGTCTAATCCTATCCACATTTTCATCAGGTGTAATCATCGCAAATTACCAGATCAGCGCTGGCTACTTCTCATACACTCACCAAAAACCCAAGCATACCGTACCCCCCCTCCCTGCTTATCACCAGATAGGACAGGTTTGCATTTTTGCTTGCGTAACACGACTGATTTGTTTGAGGAGATATATGGTGAGCTTGTGGCATATGAGAATTCCGAATACGCTTTATTTGTTGATTTCCAATTGAATGAGCGTGTATGAAAAGTTTTTATAACCCCTCTTCACAGAGTCGTAGCATAGAGGGTGTTGGGGACGGTCCGCCTAACGGATGGCATGTGATAGGGGGTGGCATTTTCAGTACCGTTGATTGTTCCCTATCAAATATAACGGCCAAAATTACCAGATAAGCTGAGCGTTGTTCCCTCAATGACACAAACAACCTTTTTGTGCCGTCACACCTGGTGCAAATCTTCTTCTCAGCCATCACCATAACTTGCCCATTGTGGTCACTTTCTCCACATGTATTTCAGTGTCCCTAAGGATCATCAATTTCATCGAAAACCAAAGTATTATTTTCCCCGAGTCGATTTTGAGTGTGCTTTCTCGTGGAGTGGACTAATGCCATTGCAATCAATTCGGTGGCCCAAAAGATCAACAGAACTTTGGCCAAAAACACATTTGTCAACATTGATCGTAACGCCGTACTGAGCAAAGCGTTCGAAGATCGATCGGAAATGTGACAGATGCTCATCATGATTGGAACTGGCCACAAGAATATCGTCAATGTAGGCGTAGACGAAATCGAGCCCTCTAAGGACTTGATCGATAAACCTTTGGAAAGTCTGTGCGGCATTTCGTAGACCAAATGGCATGCGAACGAATTCATAAAGGCCAAATGGCGTGGTTATAGCGGTCTTCGGAATATCGTCGGGAGCAACCGGAATTTGGTGGTATGCACGCACCAAGTCAATCTTAGAGAAAACTGTTCTTCCATGTAAACCAGTTGAAAAATCATGGATGTGCGGAACCGGATAACTATCGGGGACGGTGGCATTGTTTAGTGCACGGTAATCTCCGCAAGGTCTCCAGTCGCTACTGGACTTTTTGGGAACCATATGAAGCGGGGAGGACCATGGGCTATTTGAAGGACGAACGATACCGAGACGAAGCGTATGTTCGAACTCTGCCTTGGCAGTAGCGAGCTTGTCTGGAGGTAATCGTCGAGGTCAGGCGGTTACTGGCGGTCCATGTGTTAAGATGTGGTGCGTAACTTCGTGCTTAGGCTCAGGAAAGTCATTAGACGATTGACAAAGAGCAGGAAACTGCAGCAATAGTTTGGTAAACACATTGTCGGCGGGCAATGCCAAGCGAAGACCGATCGAACTGGTCGAAGTGACCTTACCCAAAACGGACAAAGATGTCAAACTATCGCATTGTTTACGGTTACGCGGGTCTACGATCAGGCCAAACTTGGTAAGGAAATCAACACCAAGGATGGGGCGTTGGACGTCAGCGATAAGAAAAACAAACGGAAACCTTCGACGAAGACCAAGGTTAAGAGTCAACATTTTCTGGCCGTATGTATGGATCTTGGTATTATTCGCCGCCTGCAATGTCGGTCCGGTTGGAAATAGGTTGCGTTTTTCTGCAGAACGAGGAATAACGCTGACCTCGGCACCGGTGTCAACCAAGAAATTCAAATTGGTTGAGGAATCGTAGACGTAAAGTAGGCGACTGTAAGATTGGCCAGACGCAGCCGTCGCCATCACTGGGTGGCGTGGAGGTTTCCCTGCTGCGGTTTGTGGAATGACTTCGGATGGTTACAACCAGGTCGACAATTCCTTGCATCATCGCCAAAACGGTGGTGCTACCAACAGAAATGAGGTTTCGAACTCCTGGCGGGACTACGTCTACTTCGAGAGGAGCGTCTAGGGCTTCTACCACGGTAGCGATTAATGCTCGAGATGGCGAGCTCCAGTTTCGATAACCTCTCAGAAATGGTTTCAATCGGGTGAGTTTTAAGATCGGTGTTAGTGGTCGACTCAACTGCGTGACATGCTGCGGGATTATGAAAGTAAGCATGAACTTTGTCTGCTGTTTCAGCCGGCTTGTCTAAAGACAAATCTTCTGCGAAGACGGCGAGAAGAGTTGCGTTCTTCGATGGAAGACATTTCGTCCAGAGCTGTCGCAGAATCGTGTCATCGACCTTAGAGGAACCGACCAACGTACGCATGTGCCTGAGAAGTTGTGATGGCGTGCGATCGCCTAGTTCAAGACCGGAAAGTAATTGTCGAAGTCTAGCTTCGTCGGAAACCGTGGTGCGCTTTAATACGGCAGCTTTGAGTTTATCTTAAGGTGCGTCAGCCGGAATCGGATCGAGCAAGTCTATAAGCTCAGTTGCGATGTGGGTAGGAAGCTGGGCAGTGACATGTGCGAACATTAAGGACTGAGAAGTAATACGGCGTATGCGAAAAAGAGCTTCCAACTGTAAAAACCACACGTGAGGATTAGAAGAATCGAAGGCAGGGAAGGAGAAACCAACAAAATTTTCTGAAATGTCAGTGCGGGGATCGTGGTCCGACATAGTCAATTCACAAAAAAGAGTTCTGAGCTTTCAGAAAAAAACGAAAACAGGGTCACCAAATATGTAGTGGAAAGGCCAAACAGAAAGGGCTTAACTACATATAAGAACTCAGTCTATAAATAAGAATGCTGTAGCTGACCTTAAGTAAAGCACGATCTTCGCTAGGCCGTCAGTTAGTCGCACAATCTGGTCGGAAGACGAAACTTAGTCGGCACAATAAATCGACGCGTTAGATCCGATGGACGAGGCCAGCAGACAGACGACGACCAACAGCACAACACGCGTAGCGGAAACCAGAAGGCGAATCGAAACCCG